CTGAGAAGAATGGGAATCCCAGAACATTTAATTGTGCTAATACGAAACCTATACTTGGACCAAGAGGCAGTAGTCAGAACAGAGCAGGGTAACACTGCAGTGGCTAGTACAGGGTGATAATTTAGTAAGTCAGTCTTTGATAAGTAGTTATTGATCATAATGAAAGTCTTCACCAAATTATCTAATTCATACTCAGAATTCCTGTGACAGAGAGGCTACTATTTTATGAAGCAACTCATTCCACAACTAAAGCTTGGTTAAGTTCCCTTTTCTTTTTAGGTTTTTAGTGATTTTTTGTAATCTTTTGTTTATATAATTCTGGGGCATGTAAAAGCCCTGTTCAGTTTACAATTTGTTGGGTTTTTTAAAATATTTTTTATTGGTTTTCATGTAATAACTTTGTTTCATTCATATACATTGTTTTATACATTTTTCATTTACATTATATCATACATTCATATACATTCTATTTTACATTTTTATTTTTTTAATTGGTTTGCTTACAAAGTTTATATACATTGTGTTTATACTATTCTTTATTCACATTGTGTTTCATATTCTCATACATTATACTTTAAGTTCTTTTTTCAAAAAAATTATTCTGACTTACAAAGTTTAAATACATTATTTTTCACAAAAGATCCTTCTCATATCATTTACCCCATCTACCCATCAAATTGTGCAACCCTGTGATTAAAACCTTACACCCACATCCTCACCCCTTTGTTTCCACCCCCCACACACACACACGCCTTGGATCCTCCGACTCATTCTACAATAATGGTTTTTAGATAGCATTTGTATTTGTGGGACTGGGGTAGTTTACTCAGCGTAATGCTCTCCAGTCCCTCCCAAGTTAGGTAGTAATTTATAAAATCATTGCTCCTGCGTGCTGCATAGTATTCTGTTGTGTGAATGTACCACAACTTCTCAGTCCATTCGTTTGTGGTTGGACATAGGGGCTGTTTCCATGTTCTTGTGATGGTGAATAATGCTGCTATGAACATTTGAGCCTCAGTTCTCATTTCCTCGGAGTATTTCAAGGAGTGAAATATCTGGGTCATATGGAATTTCTTTGTTCAGCTTTTTGAGAAAGCACCAAACTGCCTTCCAGAGTGGATTTACCATTGTACAATTCCACAAACAATGTAAAAGAGTTCCTATCTTACCACATCCTAGTCAACATTTATTGCTTTCTGTCCTGTTAGACTTTGCCCCTGATACTGAAATGAGGTGGTATCTCATTGTGGTTTTGATTTGCATCTCTCTTCTTGCCAGTGATTTGGAGCATTTCTTCATATGTATTTTGTCCATTTGAATATCTTCCTCTGTGAAAATTCTTTCCATGTCTTTTGTCCATTTTGTAGTTGGGTTATCTTTTTCTTGTGGAAGCCCTGGAATATTCTATAAACTTTCATTAAGAGACTCTTGTCTGAGATTGTTGTTTTTGTTGTTATGTGCTGTCGAGT